CTGGGGTCAACCATGTTCAAGGCAAGCACCTCAAACCTGCACTGTCTCTCTGCCACAGTACTTTGTTGTCTGAATGTGCGCAGTTACTACACTGCACCGCGACCCAAGCACCTGTGCCCTTGTGGTTCTTCTAGTACACCTCATCCCCTCTGCTCCTGGCTTGGTCATCTCTCTGATCCAGGAACAAGGATTTGTCAGCATGTGATACTGTTGTCCTCTGGTGGGGTCTGTTTTTGAATTAATTTATTTTGGTGCGGGGCCCTCACGTGGCAGTGTCAGGGCCTATTCCTGGCTCTGCTTGGGAACTGCTCCCAGCTGTGCTCAGGGGACACTGTGATCCTGAGGATGGAGCCGGGTCTCCCGCATGCAAGTCCTGCGCCTAGCCTGCTGGGCCCTGCCCCTTGCCTTGTTTCTCTGGCTGCCCCAGGTGTAGGGGGATGGACCTTACTGCAGTCCCTCCAGTCGCAGCCAGCTATAAGATTGCATCTTTGCTTATACCTGTATAGTGTTCTACTACTATGTTCCACTACTATGCAATTTTTTGTGGTCAAGTATCATTAGGCAAATTTTATTTTTGGTTTAGGATCCACACCAGTGGTGCTGAAGGCTTATTACTAGCTCTACACTCTGGGATCACGCCTGGAGGGGAACCACGTGGGGTGCCAGGAATCAGACCCGGGTGAGCCCTGTGCACTGCCAGGCAAGCAGCTCCCTGCTGTCTCTGCCCCCCAAGTCCCTAGACTCAGGGATTTGAAAGGATCTTGAGATGCAAATGAGCACTGGTTTCACCTTCAAATCACAGCTGCAGAAGCTGCCTACAGGAGTCAACCTGTGCTTTGAAAGTTTGAAAGCAGACATGACTTCTCTCTGACGAGAGTCCCAGGGAGCACAGTCCCAGAGGAAGGCTGTCACTCAGCACTGGAAATGTGTCCTTTGGGTGGCCACCTACATTGGTGGCCTTAGTAGCTCTGGTAGACCCAGACACAAACTTCTCCACAGCAGCAGTGAGACGGTTCTGCTTTCATATAATTTTTAAAACTTTACTTAAACATTGAGCTTTACAAAGTCATTCATAATACAGTTATTTTGGGTGTTCAGTGTTCCAACCCCAACCTCACCGGCAGTATGATGGCTCGTATCATTTTTTAGATCCCTGGATCTCACTTTGAATTTCCTGAAGGAACTTTTCCTTTGCTTTACCAAATTGGCTCTTGGGCACAGCCTCGTTAGCCTCTCTTCATCTTCCCACTCCACTTCACCATCGCTGGGATTGACTCCAAGTGAGACAGGTGATGGGAGGCTCAAAAATTGTCCTGGTTTTCACATTTTTGTGTCTCAAGAAATTAGGAGGAGGGACCAGTCCCTAAGCTGGTAAATTGCCTTGCACACAGCCGACCTGGATTTCATTCCTGGAATCCCATATGATACACTAAGTGCTATCGGGAGTGATTCCTAAATGCAGAGTCAGGAGAAACCTCTGAGCACTGCTGGATATGCCCTCCCCCAAAACAAAACAAAACAAACCAGGAGGCCCAGGAGAGGGAGGGAGATGTGGAGAGAGCCAGTGCATCCATTTGAACATGAACATTTACCAATTCAGAATTGCCATGTGCGGGGCTGGAGCGATAGCACAGCGGGTAGGAAGTTTGCCTTGCACGCGGCCAAACTGTGTTCGATTCCCAGCATCCCATATGGTGCCCCGAGTACCAATAGAAGTAATTCCTAAGTGCAAAGCCAGGAGTAACCCCTGTACATCACCGGGTGTGACCAAAAAAGCAAAACAAAACAAAACAAAAAACCGAACTGCCATGTGGGGTGTGCCTGGGTGTCCCAAACAAAATAACAACAGTAATGTCAAAGATCAGTGATCACAGATCACTGTGACAGGAAGAATCATCATGGAAAAGTTTCAAATATTATGAGAGTCACCAAAATGTGCCCCAAGATAGAAGTAAGTATCGGCTGCTGAAGAAACAACACCAATAGATTTGCTTGTCCGTGGTTGCCTCACTGTCTGCAAAGCACAGAAAACAAGGTCTTAACCTAGACTTAACAAAGTGTGTCATGAAAGTTGGATACTTAGTGCACATCTATTATATCATGGTTACATTGTAAAATATAAAAATGGGCATTTAATCATTGAAAACATCTGTCATATTCAGGTAAAAAATATCTTTTTGTTTTGAAGCACCCTGTTTTACAATACTGTTCATGATATAGTTTCATGCATTCAACATTGCAACAGTCCACCAGCATGTTGGTGCCTTACACTTGGGGACACCCCCACCAGCCACTCCTTGGACACCCCTTCCCACCCCACCCCACCCCGCCCCCCGCCCCCGTCACCCTTGGTAAGCTCAGTTCTGTGAAGCAGTGCCCAGGTGCACTTTTGGCGGAATATCGCTGCTCTCCTGAACCAAACAGGAAACCTTTTCCTTGTGGTGAAGTAGCGGGACTGAGCTCTTGCTTGCTGGCACCCTGCCTTCTCTGTGCTCCCCGTGCACTCTCCTGTTCCTGCTGTGCTGCTGTCAGGATGAGCCTTGCTCCTGATGGCTGCTCCACGTGGACTCGAAAAGGCATATTCTTCATCTTCAGGAGTGGGATCAACAAAAGCACACTGGCTGAGTGTGGTCGGCTCTTCTGCACCCCGTTGATTCTGTCTCTGCGTTTCAGCAGATCCCCAAGAGGGGAGTGTGGCCGCGTTTTGGGGTCACCGCACACATGTCCCTTCTGCGTGGTGAGCTCAGAAGTCCTTGCACTGGAGAGTCTTCAGTTCTGTTAGCTGTCTACATGAGTAGATCGGTATATTTGCTTTCAAATATGCAGTTTCAGTGTAGGTTATCTTTGCACATGCTGAGTTCCTTCTTTTGAATTCTACTTTGTCTTGTGTTGCTCTGATCCCTTCAGGTTTCTCTTACTCACTTGCCTGGAGTATCTTTTTTTTAATCCATTTATTTGTGATCCATTTAAGTCACATCGAAAGGAGAATCTAGAGCACTGTAGCACTGTCCTCCCGTGGTTCATCGATTTTGCTCGAGCGGGCACCAGTAACGTCTCCATTGTGAGACTTGTTACTGTGTTTGGCATATCAAATACACCACGGGGAGCTTGCCAGGCTCTGCCATTCGGGCAGGATACTCTTGGTAGCTTGCTGGGCTCTCCGAGAGGGGCGGAAGAATCAAACCCAGGTCGGCTGCGTGCAAAGCAAATGCCCTACCTGCTGTGCTATCGCTCCAGCCCTTGTTACTAAGTCTTACGTTTGTCCATGCTGACCATCTCTGTCTCTTAATTGATATGTTTAAAATACATAGATGCAATGTGGTTATTGATATGGATGGATTTGGTTTTAGTGTTTGTTCTATCCAATCTCCTTCAGTTCTGTCTTTCTTATTTTTGAATTACTGAAATAGAAATTACATCATATATACATATTTTTCAACATATTTTAGATTTAATACTTGACCATTTCAACCAAGCTGTAAGAGACTTACAAAGCCATTGAGTCCTTTTACTTGTGCCATTTTGTTATAAATGTCACACAATTCCATTGCTACTGTCATTTTACCTCCATACTTCATGAACACTCCCAGAAAGTCTTTCTCTCTTGTGTGTATATGTGGCGGGGGGGAGGGGGATGGAAGGTCACACTCAGAAGTGCTCAGGGCTTGGGAAACCATGTGGGGTGTGCTGGGGTCTGAATCTGGGCCAGCCGTGTACCAGCTAAGCATCCTGCCTGCTGTCCTGCCTCCAATCCACTGGGCCATCATTTCGTCCCCCTTGGAGACATCTCCAGTTGGCTGCTTCTCTTCCCTCGGTTCACTGCGGGGCCTCCTGCAGTTGTGCCCCCACCCCAGCTGGGTTTCTGCGCTCTGCTGCTTCTCAGCCTGCCTTTTCACTTTGGTTTTCAGCAATTTGGTTATGATGGCTGTGAGTCTGATTTTCTTTTTGTCTAACCTGTTTAGCTTATTGAATCTGAAGAATAAGTCTTTCACTACATTTGGGAGATTTTCCCTTTTGGGTTGGAGGCCACACTCAGTGGTCTTTGGTGGCTGATCCCGGCGCCATACTCAGGGGCGTCACCCCCAGGGGGAGTGATGGACACCATGCCCTGCTCAGAGGACCCTGCAGTGTCAGGGACTGAGTCCAGGCTTCCTGCATCCAAAGCGTATGTCAGCCTCTTGCGTCGTCTCTCTAGCACCTGGTGGCGACCAGTCTGTGTCGTCACTCACGGTGGGATGGGCCTATGTCAGCTCCATGGTGGAGCACTCACCTTCACTGGGGAGGACGATAGAGCCTGCCTTCTTCCTGCTGGGCCCCTGTCACACCAGGTCTGGGATGCTTGCAGCCTTGTTCCACGACATGGTCCCCAGACCTAGCCAGACATTGAGACCCTGACACCAGGACTTCCAGGACCCATCAAAGCAGGGGATCATTGTGCCAGGTCTATCAAGATCAGAAGGTTCTGGAAACAGACACTCTCCCGGTGCCAACAGTGACAAGGGCCGCAAGCAGCCATCCAGCACGCGTCCCTCAGACAGAGGGCCAGAGGGGCCTGCTTGGGGCATGCACATGCCTTAGCTGATGGTCCATGCACCTCCAGAGATGCAAGGCATCTAGACAGGCTTGTGCCAGCACCGCGAGCACCAGAGCAGGGTGAGAGCCAAACGGTCCCATTTCAAGGAAGGACAGTGTGCTAATTCCATAGAAATCCACATTCGGCTTATTACACCAGGATGTTGAAAGCTCAGCTGCAGCTAAAGAACTGGCTGAGCACACCACAGCTCGTTCCAGGAAGCAAAGACTCATTTCAGGTCTGCTGGGCGTCAGAGCACAGTCATAAAATGCAGCTTATTGAGAGACAATATGCTTGTGTATAATATGTTACATTAGTTACTCTGTTGATGTTTAAGGAAAAGCAACACATTTTAAGTGACTTTAAATGACAAAGATTAATTTGATGGTAGATATTTCAACTAAATCTATTTCTTTTATTATTAACAGAATATCCAAGGTATCTCTAAGCTCCCAATTCACATCACTAAGCCTCAAAATGGTAAAGGTAACATGTTTCTTCTTACTTAGTGAGGTCTTGGGTAACAATTTGTAAGCCTAATTTGTAATTGCTTTTCTATATAACTAGAAGTTCTTTCCATCCTGAAAACCTCCTTTGTATTTCCATGATGAGGATTTAAATATGCATTGAAGATTAAAACAGTTAAAGTGATATGGTACCTCCCTTTTAGTGGCTTACAAGTTAAAATAGATGATAATTATCTGCGGAAAATAACTCCTCTCCCACCATCTCTCCCCCAGCAACTACCCAATAAAGAAAAAACAGACACAAGTGAACTGGCTTTTATTCAAGCCTGGGAGTCCCTGGAAATATCCCTAGAAGCAGGCAAGCCCTCTTCTTTCTTCCCAGCTATCTCACGGAGACTGTGGCTAAAAGGAAAAGGCTGTCTGCACACAGCAGATTTCCGAAGCCCCAACCCTGCTCAGCCTGGTCCCAGCCATCCTTCATGGCCAATTGGGTGGAAATCATGCAGCCCAAGCCTCCTGAGCTGGTCTTCCCTCAGGAAAGCCCAGAGAGTCTCCAGATCCCTCTCATTGGAATAAAGCTATGGACATACTTTTCTTCATTAAGAATTCTAGGAAAGGGGACTGGAGAAATAGGGTTTTTCCCTTGCTCACATCCAACCTGGGTTTGATCCCTTGGCATGCTATGTGTTCGCCCAAGCCCGACAGGAGTAATTCCTGAGTGCAGAATCTCATAAGCCCTGAGCACCACGGGTGTGACCCAAAATCAAAGGCAAAACAAACCAAAAAAAAATCAAAGAATTCTAGGGACTAGAGCACAGCGGGGAAGCATTTGCCACACATGTGGCTGACCTGAGTTCCATCCCCAGCACCTCATATTTTCCCCTGAGCTGCTCAAGGAGTGATCCCTTCTTGGTCGGGGTGGCCCCAAAACAAACCAGAAGAATTCTAAGGGCCAGAAGAGAGCCCATTAGGACATAGTTATCAGCACGCATGCTTGGCTCCTGTGACCCAGGTTCAATTCCCAGACCAGGTGGTGCCCTGAGCAGCAGCAGCTGTAGCCTTGGAGTCCCTGAGCATCTTCAGGTGTGCCCCTGAAGGCCCACCATGCTGGGGTGTTCTGGTGTGCACCGCACCACCTGGCCCAAGCCACTCATCTCTGGCCTCTGCGCTGAGCTGCTCACTCACTTGTCAAGATCTCACCACGAGTGGCCCCACTGCTACGTGAGCATTGCTTGGGAGGCCACTCCACAAAAATTCCTATTCAGGCCACACCTTGCATGTTCAGGAATCACCTCTGGAGATGCTCAGGGGACCCTATGCAGAGTCAGGGACTAAACTAGGGTCAGCTGCATGGAAGGGAAGAGCCTTAACTCTGGGTCTCCAGATGAATTCGAGACAGAGTTGGGGGAGGGCATTTGGCAGGAGTCACTTACCTTGAATGTGTGAGGCCCTGGGTTTGATCCCCAGTACCACAGACACAAAAAATAGTAATACATAAAAATAAAATAAGAATTCTAGGCAAAAAAATTTAATAACAGAAGACAGTTTACCCTCAGCAGTAGAAACAGGATTGCAATACTGTTATGACTGTAACACTGCACTGTCCTTCTATTGTTCATCAATTTGCTTGAGCAGGCCCAGTAACATCTCCATTGTGAGACTTGTTGTTACTGTGTTTGGCATATTGAATACATCACGGGGAGCTTACCAGGCTTTGCCCTGCGGGCGAGATACTCTCAGTAGCTTGCCAGGCTCTCTGAGAGGGGCAGAGGAATTAAACCCGGGTCGGCAGGGTAGGCAAATGTCCTACCCGCTGTGCTATCGCTCCAGCCCAATAATATAAATATTCAGAAAAACTGAATAAAGTCGGAGAATGGTGGAATTCACCAAATGTTCTTGCTATGACTATTCAGGTAAGGAAGACAAAGTTCTCAGCATCTCTCCCAGGGCTATGTTCATTGCATCCACAGGCCGCACTTTCCTAGCTGCAGGTATGTGTGTGGGAGTGTGGCTCAGTATGTGGTTATTTTGGAATTCAGATATTTAGAATTCGTTCAAATTCCATTCTTTAATAGTGAGTCCACAAGGCAGGAGCAATAGGTCCTGCCTGACGGGCAACCTACAGGGCATATGGTCACTGGCACCACTCACAGTCTCCTGAATTCTGCCAGAAGTGACCCCTGAGCACTGCAGGGTGGGACCCCAAAACCAAAACTGAGCAAACAGAAAGTCCTGAGCCTGGAGCTAGTACAGGAGCTGGCAGGGGAGAAGCTTGGAGCTGCAGGGGGGAATGAGGGAGTAAACGCAGACGTCCTGTCTACCAGACTTCTCGCAGATTGAATTGCGCATTCTTACACACTTATCGGGAGACCCAGAACTTCTGAAGTTATTCCAGGAGTCAGAACAAGATGATGTCTTTTCGGCCCTGGCTTCCCAGTGGTAAGATATGTGAGCTCACCATATTATCGGATCTGCAGGGGCGCCGGCGCAACTTCAGACGCCTGAAAGAACCTCATAGCCACTTCCTGAGAGAAACTCTTCTCTCATCTCAAAGCCTTCTGGAAAGAAGTGTCATAGAAATGTCAGGGAACCCAGGCCTGTGTGCAGGGCGGGTTGGGGAATCCAGAGATGCCCAGTGGGAAGGGCAGAGCTTGGACGCCCTGCTGCTCCAGGAAGGGAGCACTCCCTCCACTGCCACCCCGACTGGGGCTTCCCAGGGACAGGCCCTGCTAGACTGGCTTTTTTAAGTTAATTATTTTTAATTAATTTTATTTTTATAAAGTTGTTCACAATAATTTATTATAATCAATATTCCAACACCAATCCCACCACCACTATTCAGATTTTCCCATCACCACTCAATTCTGCCCTAAAGGCAGATCCTAAATAATTTATCTTGTGTTGCTTGTTTTGAATAATCTGCTAAAAATGATCCAAAGAGGTTTCTTTAGAGCAAAGTCTGTGAAAACTATTGTATCTCGCCTTGGAACCATTAAGCCCTTATATAAGAGATTACTAACATGATGGTACAGGTTGAGCCTTGTGTGCTAATCTATATCTACATATATATATGTATATATACATATATATAATCAAGATCAGTTGCCTTCTACTTTAAACCCCAACAAATTGGGGTTTAAAGTTGTATGTTACTGTTGGTACAACACTGGCATAAACTATGAGAATTCTCTGGGAATTCTAAAATTTTAAATAGGATGATAGAGCTGGAGTTAAATTTTTAATTAGATGGTGACTTTGGAGTCTGGAGGGATCTCTGAAGCTTGTTGCTCTTTTCCAAGATTTATTTGTGAGTCTCTGGATGATGGCTGTTACTGAGTTTATACAGCATCAGAGGCAGTTCGTGGGTGTGATTGCAAGCTCCTGGAAGAACAGGGAGGTGGTGGAAGGTCACCCATTCCCGACTTCATGAGAGCCTGGAGATTTCAGTCACAAAACCCACATACCTGGGTTTTTCAGGAGATTCATTCCCCTGCATGAGGGGCTCATCCCAAGCCTGTAGAGATTAGCATGAGCATGGCAGAGATTGGGTTCTGGAGTTTTCTAGCCTAACTTTTGAGAGAAGAGAATTCCAGACTCACTGGGCTGACTAGGCTGGCTCCTCTCCCTCAGGGGCCCGCCCATACCCTATGAACTCATGCCTTCCTTTGCTCCCATCCTGCTCACCATGGGCTGCTGTCGCTGCCCCCGTGTCCTGACCTGTCATTTCTGGCCCTGAGTAGCCCTCCAGCCAGTCCACCTGGCTCCAGAATAGTGCTACCCTCCACTCTGTCTCATCAGCTGCTTGGGACTGTGTGACATCCACCACTGTCTCCTCTTGTCACTCACTCCACGCCTCCTACCTTAGCTCTGCATGAGCCCCAATCCCTGCACATGGGCCATGGGTCATGAGGTCAAAGTGTATCCCCTGGAGGGGTCAAGGCAGCACTCTGAATGGTGCCACACATGGGCCGTGTGAACGGTCTCCCCTAGAGCTGGCCGTGTGCCCCTGCTCAGCTCCCCTCCACTCTCTTTCTACCCTTATCCCAGCACTGGTGTGGGGTCCCACAGGAGTGCTCCATGGCTGTTGGCATGGGGCCTCTCTGGGTGGGCCTGCATAGGGCCTGCAGGTCACTCCCAGTAGTGCTCAGGGCACCAGGGGGAGGCCCTGCTGTTTGGGCACGCAGAGATCTCATCCCGTTCATGCTCACGTTTGCTATTTTCAATACACTGATTCAACCTGCTTAGGCTTCTCTTCCCATTGGCAGTCGGTGCTCCTTGTCCCTAGGGCAACAGTCACCTTTATTTGGAATTCAGTTGGCTCTGAATTCAGCAAAAGCAGGCCCAGCCCCTGCCCCACGCGTGTCCCTCCAGGCCCAGCCCATGCTCCACTCGTGCCCTGCCCGGCCCCCACCCAGGCCCAGCCTGTGCCCACCCAGCCTGCACAGCTGCCTCCTCAGGCCCAGAGCAGCACAGGGTCATCCTACTGTGGGCTCTGCTTGAAGGCAGACAGAATTCTCTGCCGGAAGGAGTCTCCCTGTGAAGTGTGCAGCTCGCTGGGTTTAATGCCGTGGCAGGCCTTTGCAGCAGGAGCCCAGCCCTGTCCCCAGAGAAAGTCACGCCGTCCTTCCTTCATCCCCCCGTGGACCCACTGACTCCTGCCTGTGGTGTGTGCGCCTGCACCTGGCTGGGGGCCCTGTGATCAGCCTCTTGTCTAGAGATGATGTCGGGGCAGAGCAGGCCTGGGGATGTGGCTCCCCTTGTGACTGCAGCCGGCCCTAGCGTGACAGGTTCTGTGCCTGGGCTGCGTGCACTTCTCCAGCACTGCGGGTGTACACTAGCGTCCTGCTGCCTTTGGTCTGCTGGCCGCCCCTGCACGGGTTCCAGGAGCTGTACCACCCCTGCCCATGGGTGAGCTGCTGGGTCCTTAGAGTAAGTCTGTGTTACCTTTTGTTTATAGTGGTAAAATAACATAAAATTTACCATCATAACCATTTTAAGATGTACGAGTCAGCAGTAACTATATTTAACTTGAGGAATTGCCAAACTAGCAATCTCGTTTTCCACCCCCAAAAGCACTGTGTGGGTTCCAGTGTGCCCACGTTCTTGCCAATTCTCACTCTGGCTGGAGCCCTTTGTGCTGTCTCATGGGCTGACTTGAGGCTTTCCCAGCTGTCTCCCTGTTGACTGCTGGCTTGTGCTCATCAGGTATTCATGTCTCTTGCCTGCATGTCTCTCGGAGAACGTCCCCCAGGGCCAGGGAGATGAATGATCACAGGGTGATCGTAGGATGGATAGGCAGGGTGATCGTGTGCAAGGCCCAGTCAGCTGCCTGCACCACATTCTCCCTGAGCATGGAGCTGGGAGTTGCCCCCCAAACACAACAGGGTATGACTCCAATACAAACAAAAAACACAAAAGGGCCCATTGCATTTCTATAAACTGACCACCACCATGCAGAACTAGAGATTAGAATCACAGCACCACGTTCCAGTCATTCCAAAGATCATGAGATGTTTTTGTTTGTTTTTGTTTTGGGGTCACACCCAGCAATGCTCGAGGGTTACTCCTGGCTCAGTGCTCGTGCTCAGGAATTACTCCTGGCAGTGCTTCGGAGACCATATGCAAGGCAAGCACCCTGTCACTCCAGCCCAGATCATGAGATACTTAATAGTATCTCACATAGGGCACAGGACTGGGAGAAAACACTGGGTAAAGGAAGATACACACTCCTGGTTGGGAAGTAAAGGCAGTAGATCTACCAGTTCTCCTGATCCAGCCATAGGGTCAATGCCGGAAACCCACACGGGTGGCTAAGAGATCTCCAGAAAGGCATGGACCCTCTTCCACCTGTGTGTGCTCCACTGGACTGGGTGTGACGACTCACTCCCCGGAAAGTGTGTCTGGCTTGGACAGACCCAGGGAGGCTACTGTCAGGCAGGGCGGCTCCTTCCACAAACACTTGGCTCTTTACTCATGGACCATTTTGATGCCCTTGTCTCCTCTGGTATCTGCCCTTGTCTCTCCTGCACCCTAGGGAAAACTTGAAAATTAAGCTTATTTTGATATATATATGTATATATATAATACATATAATATATATGTTTGGGGGAGTGCGCCTAGTGGTTCTCAGGGCTTACTTCTCACTCTGCACACAGGGATCACTCCTGGTGATGCTCAGGGAACCATGTAGGATGCCTGGGATCAAACCTGGGTTGGTCACATTCAAGGCCAGTGCCGTAACCCCCGTCCTATCTCGTCAGCCCCCCAAATTGAGCTTTGAAAGTCTGCACGATGGTTGCTTCTGATTTCCCCAGCGGCAGTAGTAATTCAGCACTTGTGACTTATACTATAATTAGTTGCTGTGGAAATGATTTTTATGTTCCAAACAGAAGACTAGAATAGCTCAGTAAAAAGGCAACAAGATCAAATGCGCTTTTCAATAGGTTTGTTTCACAGAAATGCCTCATTGTTTAGAACACAAAAAGCCAAACAGGCCCTTCACCACTCTATTCTGAAACATTCAGCTGTCCTGGAGGGCAGAAATTAGCTAGCCTCCTTCTGTGTACCTACCCCAGGTAGCGCCAGGCACTTGGGCTGTCTCTGGCATCCAAGAGATGGGATGCGCGGGTTGGTGAGAGGAGAGTGAAGGACCCCCCACCCAGGCTCTTGCTGGCATCAAGCATCCTGCCAGTGTGGTTGGTTCTGAGAAGCTCTTAGGGAGCTTACTGGGAGTGTGGCTTGCAGTGGGCCCTTCACCCACCCACCCGCCACTGGGCCCACCCTTTGGGCTCACCCCCAGCGGGCCAGAGAAGCTGTGCTAGGCCCTGCCTCCTTGTGCCTCCTGGAGAGGTGTCCCCACGGCATCACCCCACACCCTTCTCATGTCCTGCTACCTTCCTACCTCCCTGGCCAGCTATGCCACTGGCTTCCAGGTGACCTCAGTATCTAGAGTGGGGGAGGACAGCCTCCCCAAGGTCAGCCCCTCAACAAGACAGTGGGCCATCAAGGCCTCTCCGGGCCACCCGGAAGAGAGCCAGACTGCTCGGGAAAGCTGCCGAGGCAGGCCGAACTCCCAGGGGGAACAAGCCCTGGCTCTACAGTGCTGGGAGGTGGCAGGGTGTGAGGAGAGGCAGACAAGAGACAGGACAGATGGGAGGGCACTGGCCTTGCCTGCGGCCAGCTCAGTGCAGTCCCCAGTACCAGGTGTGCCAAAAACCCCTACAGAAAAATCAGAAATGTCCTGATAAATGTGCCCCAAACAGATTTTTCAATAAGCACATAAACTAATTTCAGTTTCGCAAAGAATAATGTGTAACAAATGTGAAATTGACAAAAGGGGGCAGTAAGTGATACGGGGGGATGTGGTACTGGGCATTGCTCCAGCATAAGCTGGCATGGAAGGCAAGGGCTTTACCCAAGTTTTTTAAGAGGTGGGCCCCATTCAGCAGTGCTCAGGAGCTATGTGCTCAGCAACCACTCCTGGCGGTGTGCAGGGGATCATATGCATGCCCGGGACTGAACTCATGTTGGCCTCTGAAAGACAAGAGCCTTAACCCCTATACTATCGATCCAGTCCCAAATGGGAATGTCTTAGAGAGGAGCAATAGGGAAGCCCAGTGCCTCGATATTAAAGTCCATCATGAGGCCAGAATCACTAAGGCTTGTTGGTGGGTGAAAGCAGGGTCGCTGGACAGAGCAGAGTCTGAGCCACGCCCATGGCTGCTCACGCTCAGTGTATGAGGGAAGTGCAGTGCCAAGGACTCCAGTGGCACCACTGCAGACCCATCCCAGTGAGGGGAGCAGTCAGACGGTCCGCACACTGGGCCTGGGGAAGCCCACCTACCAGCAATGACCACGACAGACAAGGAGCGGTCTGCTGGTCTCCTCTGCATGGGGGCGAGACCAGATACTTGCCCTCAGATACTTTCCCAGTCACAGCACGTGCACGGTCAGGGCCAGACAACACCACAGAGCAAGCAGCAGACGCTCAGGATGGCTCTTGCTGGGAGAGATGATGAACCCGAGGAGGAGCCTGTGTGGCTGGAGGGAGTACTGTGCTGTGCTGTGCAGAGCAGGGTGCCGTCTGATGCCAACCTGGCCCTGAAGCACAGCGGGTACGGAACTAGGCCCCGGGCTGTAAGGCCTGACTCCTCTGCCCAGAGCAGAACAGAGGTCCTGACCCACAGCAGGGCCATAATCTACCATCAGGCACAGCTTCCTCCTGACACCCACAGAGGCAACTGCCAGGACTCACGTGGCCAGCCGCGAATGAGGCAGTGCTGCCTCTGCCTGTCAGATCTCCCTCCCCAGGGCCCACATGTGCGGTGAGGCCCGGGCCTGCCTGTGCCATGGGGGAGTTCTGAGTAGGAGCTCAGGGGCCATCCTGACATCTGCTTCCTCAAGACAGACACAGTCAGGGAGGGTCTGGCCTTGCAAGTGGCTAACATGGGCTCAATCCTCAGGTTTCCCAGCACTGCCGGGAGTGATCCCTGAGCACCACCAGGTGTTGCCCGACATTTAAATCACTATCACTATCACTATTACCCCATTGTTCATCTATTTGCTCAAGCAGGCACCAGTAATGACATTTAAATAAATAGATAAATAAACCACTTCTAAAAATTAGAAGTGGCCTTTAGAAAGAGAAGGAGCTGCAGTCTATTCTCATGCTGTCCATTCGCAGTTCCCCAGGGGTGAGTCAGGCTCCGTGAGCTGCCTCTCGGGCGTTGAGGCCCTGCGCACCATCCGCACTGCTGGGCCCGAGCACTGACCCATCAGGCTCACACAACCCGCCGTGTATCCCTGGGGACGCCCCGGCCCCAGCACTGCTGGCACGGACTCAGGAGAAATGAAATAGAGGGCCAGAGCCTAGTTCAGCGGGGAGGGCATTCACTTGCATGCAGCCAAATGGGTTTGATCCCAGCACCCATAAGGAGCCCTGAGCCACCCTGAGCACAACCAGGTATGGCAACACACATGCCCTGTTCATCGGTTGCCACGGCCCCACCAGCCATGCTCTGGATCGGAGTGAGAGCCCCCCACGTGGCCCTCCCTGCTCACCCACAGGGCCCTATCAGAGGTTGCCAGGGCCTGGTGGGTGACTGGGGAGGGGGTGGTTTTCTTTGGGAGGAGGAAAATATTCTAGAATCTATGGTAATGGTTGTCAGAGCATGTATAAATATGCTAACATACCGATTCGTCCTGGTGTGGTGAATTGGAGCTCAGAAAAGGTGGAAGCATATACTATTTCCTTTACAACTTTCTTTTTATTAGTAAAAAACTTTTGTGGGGGGGGTTGAGTCATGCCCAATAGTGCTCAGTAATCCTCCTGATCGGTCTCAGGGAACCATGTGCACTGCTGGCAATAGAACCTGGGTGGGCTGCCCACCAGGCCAGTGCCTCCCCCATCCTATCTCTCCAGCCCCTCCAGGGCAAATCGTGATAGAAAGGTGAATGGAAATAAAGGCACAGTGTCCGTCGAGAAAACAAAGCCGCTCAGGAGCTAGGGCGGCAGTGGGCACACAACATCAGAGATGTGTCTGAGGGTGGGAAGGCAGGGATGCTCTGACCACATGTCCCTCTCCACAGGAAGGACATTCCGCCCATGGACCGAGAACAGACAAAGAAGGTGGTGTATTCAGCTGTATATGGAGCAGGTAGGCGCCAGAGCCGCTGTGTGTGCATGTGCTCGCGTGGGGTGCTTCCTGTGCCTCAGAGATCTTCGGCCCCCTTAACCCTGGCTCTGCCCGCCAGCCCCTCCCTGGCTGACCCTGTGCTCCTGTCTGTGTGACCTGGACCAGGTCCCCTTCTGAGCCCCCTCAGCTCTGTCATCTTTGGCATCTGCCACCACAGTCCAGTCCCAGTGCTCTAAGAACAGCAGCATGTGGCATCACCCAGCCAGGCCACCCTGCCCTGTGTCAGAGAGAGGCAAGCTGGGGGCGAGCCTCTCTCCCGCCATCCCCAGAGCCAGTCCCACTTCTGTCACTTTGGCAACTTCTGGAATATTCGCTCGACTTTTTTCTGGGGAGGAAGGCACTCACGCTGTAAATAAGCAGTGAGTCATGCCGTGGCGCTGGTGCAAAGGGTAATTTGGCTGCTTTTAGCTTGACGGTGACAGGTCCCCCACCCGACCTGTTTCCTCTGCTCCTGTGGCACCGGCCAGCCTGGTGGCTGCATCCTGCACATCTACACAGCCTAGCCCTCCGGAGTGGGTCAGAGCTGGGCCCTCGCCAAGGCAAGGAGCGCCCCTCGTGTGATGCCAAGGTCAGGGCTGGGAGCACATAGGGGTCCTTGGAGATCCAGGCTGGCCAGGCGGCTTGGGCAGTGGGAGCCACTCCGACCTGACAGAAGCAGCTCCTACCAGTGAGAGATTATGGGAAGCACAGCTGCAGACAGGAGCAGGGAAGGGTGGCCACCCGGGGTGGGTGGCCATGCTTGGGGGGCTCCAGGACCTCAGCAGACCCCACTAGCCATGGAGCCACTGGTGCCCAGGGTCTCAGCCTGCAGGTCACACTCACTGCCCCTTACGCTGGCCCTCACCACCTCTTCCTCCTCCTCCTCCTTCTCCTCCTCCTCCAGGCATGCTCTGAGCACTGGCGTCCCCTGTCCCTCTCAGCCTGCCTCGCTCCCTCCGTTCTCCATGTCTGAGCATCCATCAGGCATCTGCGTCAGGTGCCATTCACAGGCTCTGCCCCGGGCGCTGGGACGGGCTGTGCTGGGGGTCCCAGACAAAGGCATGACCTTCCAGGCAGGTCTCGGGAGTGGAGCTCGGCCTGCTCTAGGCAGCCAGGGGCACTGGGAAGTCTTGAGGCCATGTCGGAGCTCAGATGTAAGTGTGCCCAGAGATGCTGGTTAGCCGGGAACGCTGCCGCCCAGGCCTCTTGCTCTGGGCACTGGAGTCACACAGAACACCGTCTGCCTGGGACAAAGCTCCTGGCCAGTGGTCAGCTGAAGGGAAGGGACAGATATACCCACCTCCTGGGAAGACCCGGAGGCTGGTGGGACCCTCCCTGCCCTATCTCTCACTCGGCTGCTTCCCAAGAATCAGGCTCAGTCAGTGTGGGGGCCACAGCGTCCTTGCCCCTCTGGGTGACCGGCCATTGCAGCAGCCCTGGACGGGAAAGAGTCCAAAGTGCCTTGAGCTGCTGCAGGGAGTGGAGGTGAGTGGTCCCTGGCAAGTGTCAAGGGGACTCTAAACACACCTGGAACTGTTCTCTCTGGCCCAGAGAGTATCTGGAGGGAAAGGGAGAGATGTTGGAGGGAGGAACTGGCTGGCCCAGACCTCTGCTGGACAGCCCTGCCCTATGTATGAGGGGGGCTGCATTGGGCCACCCTGTAGGTTGCTGCCCACCACAGAGACAAGTGGACATGAGCCAGACTCACTCGAAAGAACCCCAGCTGCCCTGCAGGAATGGAGTGAAGTCACACACAGCTGCAGACGCAGTCATCTTGGGGATAGGAAGGGCCAGAGGCCGAGACCACGGGAGCAGGCCCCGAGGGGCTCCACGGGGATCACAGACCAGGGACCCCATCCAGTCTGTGTCTCTCAGGCCCTGCCTTGCAAGCTCTGGCCACGAGGCCAGTCCTTAGCCCCATGGCATGTGCGAAGATGGTCTCTGGCGGCTCCACGGTCCCTGGCACCACCAGCAGTGTCTGGCATATAAGTGCCGAGACTGAAAGAAAGGGGCATCCCCAAAGTGAGCCCCAGAGCAGAGGGCAGGGCAGCGTGGCCCCTGCAAGCACCATCCTGGGTCCAGCCTGCCGGGCACTCGGCACCGCCATCAGAGTGTGCAGCCCCCAGAGGAATCTCGGCCATGGGTGTGAGCCTGCAGCAGCTGGCAGCCCCGTGGGGAGGGGAGGGCAGGCCGGGAAAGGCTGAAGGGGCTGGAGGAGGTGCAGGAAGCAACAGGACAGGAAGCTCGGCAGTGAGCGAGCACCCACTGGACAGTGGACAGCAGGTGGCACCGTCAGAAACAGATCCATGGGTCAAGCTTGCAAGCGCCTGCGAGTGTGGTTCCAAGACGCCCTGAGACCCCAGTGAAGGGCCCTTGGGGTGGGGGGTGTTTCTCGCTCTCCCGGAAGAAGCAGGTGCCCGGGGGTTCGGAGTGACTTTTTTTCTGAAGAGAGGGGTTGACAGTCAGTGGGTTTCCCTGTGAGTTGGGCCCTCCCTGAGCTGACCCCCAGCAGAGGACAGAAGTGACGTGGCTCGTCCCGGTCCTGCCCCCTAGAAATTCTGGGTCTGCTTTGTCTCTCTGGGGTTCACTGCGGCCCTCAGCCCCGGACCCACATGCCCTGCTGTGCCAAGTGTCCCTTAGACCCCGCAGTTATTCCTCTGCCCTGGGAGAGACAGGACAGCGCCAAGCAGGACACAGTCTCCTGGGCTGCTCCTGGGAAAAACAGCAGGGAGGTAGGCCTGGGTGCAACCCCAGCACTGTCCCCCAACCACCCCAAAGCCATGCAGAACCTCCAGCTGGCAGAGCAGACTCAGGTTTGCGTGCCCACCAGCAGAGGGGTGCCTTCTGGGCAGAAGCCCAGCTGCTGTCCTGACCGGCCCCCACCAGAGCCAGCATCCCAGAGTGCTGGCCTGCCAACACACTGCCCAGCATGGACCCTCAGCACTGTGGCTTCCCCTCCCCATCCCATTCCCGGCCGGCCGACCCTGCCTACATCCCCAGCTCCTAGGTTGGCCAGCACCAGCCTGACCCATCAGAAATCAAGGTGGACTCAGCAACACCTCCAGAGGCACCCATAGGCTCAGCTGGTCGGTGGTCCCCAGCTGGTGGCCCCTGGCAGGTGGGCCCATGGGTGGGAGAGGTGAGCCCCTGACCTGGGCTGTTTCTGCCCACGTAGGAAAGGAGCAGCTTGTTGCCTGCCTGGAAGTTCCACTTCAGGAAGCAGCTGCACAGTTTTTGGAGAGTTTTTTACAGAAATACAAAAAAAATCAAGGAGTTTTCCCAAGCCATCATCACTCAGTGTCAGCGGAGCAGTGAGCTGCCCTGCCGAAGCCTCTGCAGCCCACCCTAGTCATCCTCTCTCCAGTGGCAGGGCCCCGCTAGGGCAGCTCCAGGCTCTGTAGAGACAGCAAAAGCCACCTTGGGTCAGAGGGCAGCAGCTGGACAAAGCTAGGTGGACAAAACCCTGCCCCCAGAATGAGACTGCTGGGCCTTGTGGAAAGCACATGGTATGTGACAGTACCAGAAATTGTCCCGCGGAACAGCTGCTCTAATTTCCATTCCTGTGTCTGTGGTTGGGCATCCATCTACCTACTCAGAAATGACTGCATGTCTCAGTAGCTCAGGATCGAAATAAGAACACAAGCATGTTAGAAATGAACATTGGTAAAAGTATCTCTCATCAAAACCTGTGCCCTGGTGCTTGGAAGGGAAAGAATCCTCCCTCCCACCCTCCTCCTTCCCTCCCTCCTTTCTCCCACCCTCCTAGTCCTCCCTCCCTCCCTCCTTCCCTCCCTCTCTTCCTCCCTTCCTTCCTCCCTCCTTCCCTCTTTGTTTCTGTCTCTGTCTCTCCCCCCACCCTCCAGAGAGGAACTATAGAGGGGTCCTCTGTAAACGTAGGCTTTCTAGCAGAGGGAGTGCTTGGAGAACCAGTACATGTGTTCAACCCCAACTCAGTCCCTGGCACCACAAAGTGTCCCCCTGAGCCCCACTAGGAGTGATCCCTACATGCAGAGCCACAAGTAAGCCCTGCGCACTGTCAGGTGTGGCCTAAGAAACCAAAAAATGAGTAAAGACTTGGGCGGGACTGCACAGCAGGGATCCCGCTGCTGGGGGGGGGGGGGGGCGGGGGGGGGACGCCTGAGAGACACTCTTGGCAGTACTCGGCCCAGCCATGCAGGCCAAATGGCTCAGTGCTTGGCCCTGCACTGCTTAGGCGCCCCGAGAGCCACAGCAGAGGTGTGTGAGGGGCCTGTGGTGCTCAAGATGGAGTCTGGGCCTGAGAGGAGAGCGTGGGGACCACCGCCTGCCCACACATGGTGCCCACCTCCTGCCCACACACGGTGCCCATTGCTTGCCCCAGGTACCAGACCCCAGACGCAGACGCCCAAAAGCCAGCCTGGGTAGCAAGGGCAGCCATCCTCGCTGTACTGCACACAGGCCCCTGCCCTGCAGACAGGGAAGGAGGCCTGGGACCCCAGAACCTCATCCAGGGAAGCCCTGCCCACAGAGGATGCTGCCCACAGGGACAGGGTGCCTGCAGCTGTGGCTCCTGCCTCTTATCCTGCTCTTGCTTCACACAGGCTATGTGGCAACACTGATGGGCAGACGGAGGCCACTGCCCCAGATCTGGGCTCAGGATGTGCAGTTCCAGGCACAGGCCGAGTGCCAGGCAGTGAACTTCATGATACAAGGTAGGCCCAGTGCCGCCCCCCGCCCCCGTGCCTCCGGCAGCTGCAGCAGGGAGTCTGCCCCCCACTGTCCCTGCACTTCCTGTTCCAGCCTGGGCAGTGGTTGTCCAGGTTGAGGAGGAAGATGCACCCACGGCAGGTGCAGGATGAGCTGTCCAGTATTCCAGCCGGGACCTCTGCAGGATGCGGTGGGCTCTCAGTCCACAGCCAGGCCGACTCTTCATCCCCCTGCCTGGCTGTGCCCGAGCCACCACCACTGTCGTGCCCCATGCAGGCTGTGTGTCTGTGGCCATGACCAGCACCCCCGGGGCCACCTTCACCACACTGCCCAAGTGCTGCTGCGGGCGGCTTTGAAGGCCTCAGGGCAGGGACGGGTCATGCCAAATGCCAACAACGGGCTCTGGACTTGGCTCTTACACCAGCAGCGGCTACTGGGACCTCACGACCTGCCTCAGCACTAGAGCCAGCCCCACCCCACTAAAGGGCCAGCCTCGGGCCACAGTCAAGGGTGCCACGTGTGGGCGTTGTCCTCCTGCCAACCTTGCTCTGTGCCCACAGGCTCTGCCGCAGACCTCTGCAAGATGGCCATGATCTGCATCTTCACTGCTGTGGCCTCATCCCACTCGCTGACAGCCAGGTCAGAGTGCGCCCTGCCTGGAGCAGCCTGTGGGCCTGATGGCCACTCGGAGCACAGCCCCACAGCAGGGGACCAGGCCTGCAGCAGGAGCACCAGGCTGCCACCACCTGGCAGGATTCCCAGGCCACCTACTCTGGGCACAAGCCAAGGGGCACCTCCCTGGCCACCCGGTCCTAGTGGGTTTACCCCTCAGCTCACAGGGACATGAGGTTCCTCCCTGCCACCCCATGTGGCACCTTTTCTATCCATGCCCAGAGTCAGCGCCCACACTCCCCCTGTGCTCTCCTCTGCCCTGCTCCGCCCAGGTCAGCAATGGGGGACAGGAGCCCCCAGGTGCACCCGGATGTCAGGGTAAGTGACTGAGCTCTGGACACCCCCATTGTTGGCATAGGGGAGTCTGCACAGGAGGCTGCATGTGGGGCCACAGAGCTCCCCGAGGGCTGGAGCAGGCAGGCCTGGTGGTCACCTGGGCAGAGGTCATGCCAGCACCTGCTAGACCTGGGCAGGGCAGAGCGTGAGGCCCACGTGAACTACCAGGTGCCCCGGCAGAAGCAATTCATGGTTTAGGAGGCCAGAGGGAAGGTGCGGGCCCCCTTGGGGCACCTGACCCTGGTCGCACCCCCTTCTGATGCCTGCCAGCCCCCTGGGTCCAGCAGAACACAGGGCGGGCCCAGGAAGCACAGCATGGGGGCCTGCGGGAGGAAACAGGCCAGGCTGCAGGGCAGCGGGTCAGGGTGCCTCTGGGCGGGGATAAGGTTGGAAAGGGGGTGGGAGGGGCCCTGCTGGCACGACCCCCAGGCCAGCACCCACACGGCATCTCAGGAAGACGAGGGTTTCCCGTCTGTGGCCCATGCCGACGCCCCAGTTCCGGGGGTGGACTGTGCAGGGCTCCGAGCGGGGTGTGGGTGACTAACGATCCCTTCCTATTCTTAGTCGCTGGCTGTACAAGGTGATTCCAGGGAGTGTGAACCCTCTGCTAAATCTGGAAGTTTCCAGTGCCTCCTGGGGGGGCCCGTGACCCGGCAGAGGCCTGGGAGTCAGTGAGAGACGGCGCGGCCTGGCTGCATGTGGGGCACAGGCCAACTGGGAGGGCTACACCTCTGGCCACCCCTGCTGATGGCCAGGGCGTGCCCATGGGGGGCCAGCTCTGTGTCTGCAAGAAGAAGGTCCCGGAGCACCAGGGTTGCCTTCCCGGCTGTGGCCCCTTTCCGGCCGTGGGTTCGGGGGCAGTGCTGCTCTGCCAGGCAGGATGGCTGCACATGACTGAGGCTGCCCCCAGCCCAGCCTGTGTCCATGGAGCGGGCATCCGCTCTCCAGGCTGGGGAGGGTCCGGGGGCTCCCCTTTGGTTTCACCCGACAGAGGCAGTGACATGCTCCCCTTTCCCTATTCTGTGGGAGACCCCCCTGCCCTTGCTGGGGGTCAGAATAGGGGTGATCCCAGACCAGCAGGGCCTCTCCCCAGACCTTAGAATCGGGGGCTCAACTGTACAGACCTTAGAATCGGGGGCTCAACTGTACTTCCAAGGTACAAGGCCATGGCTCGTGTCCTCCCCCACTGCGGCCCCCCCACACGCACCCTGGAACCTGCCCATGAGGCTGTCCCCTGTCCCCACTGAGCCCCAGCTGCTGTTCCCTGCCTCGTGGCTGCCCCTTGCTCCCAGTTCCATGGTGACTGTCATCATTGCAGGCTGGTGGCCCAGATCCACGATGAGCTGCTGTTCAAGATGGAGGAACCACAGGTGCCCGAGTTTGCAGGTGACCCGGCGAACCCTGGTCCCGTGAGGGCACACAGGCCCAGTCTGCCGTGTGGACCCCAGGGTGGGCACAGCTGGGCCATCAGAACACAGTGGGGCTCTGGGGCTCCAGCCCGTGGGGCAGCAGACGGCCGCCTCCTAGTGTATGCTAGGGCTGTGCCCTGTGTCCTGGGGAGACGGCCCTGACACTCACTGTGCCCGCCTTGTCTCTCCACCCTCTCAGGGACTTGCCAAAACAAGGGGGTGAGGGCAGGAACAATAGTACAGCGCACCCAGGTTCGATCCCCGGCATCCGACGTGTTCCCCTGAGCACCGCCAGGAGTGACTGCTGAGAGAAAAGCCAGGAGTGACCCCTGTGCAGCACCTGGTGTGCCCCTCCCCCCCCCCACCAAAAGAGTAGAGTGAAAATCTAGTCCACAGTGACACCCTCAGCAGGGATCCCTACCCAGGACCCCATTGTGGGCTAGCCCCAGTGCCCTACAGAAAAGGGTGGGTGCAGCTTGGGCAGGGGGTCTGAGCAGGCACCCTCAGCTCTTGTCAGGCGCTCCGTGGAGTCACTGTGGAATGTGCCGGCCTCGGAGCTGCAGGTGCAGGTAAGGGGCTCCTTGGTGGGTAGTGAGTAGCACGGGGCCTCTAGGGGCTGGTAAGGGAAGCCCTGCGACTTCCTGTCCTGGGTGGTTCCTGTGACTCATGCAGCAGGTGGGGTGGGAAAGGTCCTGCAGCCCTACTCGTCTGGAGTGCTGCTCCCTGCATATGTGTGCCTGTGTAAACATGGGTGCCTACATGTGTGCCTGTGTGAGCCTGTGTACCCGAGTGAACATTTGCGCTTATGAGAACATGTATGCTGTGTGAATATGGGTGCCTGCACGTGTGCCTTTGCCATGCATGCCTGTGTGAGCGTGTGCACCATGTGAACATGCTGCTGTGTGAGCACGTGAGCATGCTCTGTGTGTGCCTGTGTGAGCATGGCCTACAGTGTGGCGTGGCTGAGGTGCAGGCGTCTCTGCTCTGGAGTCCAGCCCCAGGGCCCAGGCTGCACTCTCCTCTGCTGCCCCCAGGTTCCCCTGAAGGTCAGCCTGAGTGCTGGATGCTCCTGGGGACCTCTGACGCTGCTGCAGGAGACCTACCACCCTCCGCCTGCACCCATGGGCACTCTCCCCTTGGTTCACAGCCCTCCGTGGCACGGGGCTGGGAACTGGCCTCCACAAAGCCAAGTGGGACCCCCACAGGTCAGCGGGGCACTGGGTGCTGAGGCGGGCACATCCAGGGCCCCCCGGTAAAGGCCGTGAGTGCTGCCCATGTCCTGTCCTGCCTTCTTCACGCTGCAGGACTTCTTGTCCCCACAGAGCCACCAGGCTGGCACCTGGGTGGTCTGGGAGCTGCTGGCCCTCACCACCTCAAGGTGCACAGGGGACAGCTCAGCCTCGAGCCCCCTCACATCACCCCTGCACCCCTAGCAAAGACCAGTGGCACCCTCCTCCCAACCATACCCTGGCCCCTAAGTCTGGGGTGAGAGGGCACATTTGGGGAGGGCCTGTGCTCAGTGGCGAAAATGAGGCATAGGTGATCCCTGTGGGCATGTGAAGGAACCTTCTGGAGGCCATCCTGCCCTTTAGCAGCAGCAAGCCCTCAGGGGCACCCTCAGGCCCAGTTTCACTGTGGGGAACAGACCCACACAGTGCATCTGGCTGACTCCAGGGTCCCCACACCCCATCCTCGCTCTGCTTCCTGGCCTGAGCCCCCAAGTCCCATACCCTCCTCCCCAGGAGGGCTCTGCTGGCCTGTTCGGTTCCCTCAGAACAAAGCCGCTCTGGGCCCCATCTGTGCCAGCTCCTGCAGAGCAACCCTGGGCACTGGGCACCAGGCAGGGACCACTGAGCAGAAGTCACTGCATAGAGAACACTGGACAGTGGACACTGGGCAGCGGGCACTAGACAGAGGACACTTGGCAGAGGGCACTGGGCAGGTGTCTCAAGAAAACGTGGGAGTTGGCTTGTGTTACCTGCAGCTTTATTGAAAAACAGCAGCTTGGCGGCCATGCAGAGGGAAGTGCCCTGTCCCCAGGAGCTCGGGAGGGCAACCTCGTGCCCTACAGCTGCCACCTGTAACACTCTGTGTCCCCTGCAGGCATGCTCAGACCATGGCCAGGCTCTGATCTCACCTGTCACAGCTACCCCTCCAGGCTGCTCCCTCACATGACAGAGGCCCCTGACACCCGGCAGATGGACAGGGAACGCGTGCTCAGGCACAGCCTCTCCTTCATGGAGGCCAGGCCATGGGGCTGCAGGGCTGCACCTCCCCAGCCCAGAGCGTGTGCAGCACGCACAGGCCCACAGAGCAGCAATGGCCAGGCCTGAGCAGAGGCAGCGTGTCCTGGGCATGGACGTGGCCAGCCCACCCTCCAGTGCCCAGGGTAGCCGGGTTGCCAACACCCAGAGAGCCCCAAGGAGCAGCTCAGGCCCTCAGGGCAGGATTCTGTCCACACACGAGGCCCTGGGGCTCTGAGCACAGACTCCCCACCCACTCCCCTACCCAGCGCCCAGCCCCCAGTCTGTTCCGGCTCCTCTACACCGACACCCCACATCCAGAAGCCCCAGACTCCCCAAACCAGGAGCGCCAAGACACAGGGAAGAGGGGTCAGGCAGCCTCGCCCCAGCTGCTGCCCAGGTAGGCCCCATGGGGAGATCTGTGTCTCAGAGGGCGAGACTGACACCTTAGGGCACAGGGCAGGGCAGCGAGCTCACAGCCTGGAGGCCAGGGCGACACACATGTCCCTGCCCTCAGGGCTGGGCGCTAGCGCCTGACACAGCCCCGAGGGGAGGCAGGGGACTCATGCATGAGAGCCCCTGCCTCCAAACTCCAGGGTCCCAGGCACACCCATCCTGGTCATCCTCCATCCAACTCGGCCCCCCACCGCCTCCCAGCACACCTCAGTCGCGAACGCCCCATACCAGCTCTGGCCATGACACAGCAGCAGAAAGAGGAAAAGGCACAAAGGTCTGTTTTCCATTTTGCTAAAACACTTTACGTCTGTCTGTATAATCCAGATTAACAAAATCTGAGAGCTGCAAGAAAATAGGATTTCTGTACAGTCTACAAAACCCCAGCCAGGGGGCCGGGCGCCACCAGGGAAATGTACACGGGGGTCTGTACAGGGCAGGGGCCCACCAGCCGCCTCCACACGCTGCCTCCTGGGTGCCCACCCCCGAAGCACCCTGGAAGAAGGGCCACCCCCTCCCACTGTGGGTGCCAGCTCCGGGGCCACCGTGCTGGCCCCTCCTCCCCCAGGCTGGGCCCAGGGCACACGGACACACCCAGGTGCCTCCCCAGACCCTTGCCCCACGGTGCCAGCAGCCCAGGTGGATGGAGATGCCCCTCTTCCCGGAGGCTACGTGTCAGGGCCAGGAGGGGTGAAGGTGGCCAGAGCCCCCATGGGCCAGGGATGGATCAGGGTCCCCTCCCGATCCCACGCTCGGAAGTTCTCCACCCACCCGGCCACCCACCCTGCACACTGGGCCAGAAACCGCGCAGGCTCTCGGGCACACACATGTGCCACACTCCCTCGCCATCCTGTCCGAGAGTTAAAGGCATGCAGAACGCTATTCTGTCTAAGTGACCTAGGGAAAGGGTCGGCCGCAGGTGAGGAGAAGCCGCGGGCTCGTGGTGGCAGCCGCCTGGGCTAATGAGCTTCGAGGGCAGCCACGCAGCCCAGGTGCTGGGGGTGGCCCACCTCGGCCTCCCGGCTCCCCTGGCGCCCTGGCTGCTGACCGGCTGCTATGGGATCCGCCCCTGGGTGAGGACCAGGCAGGCGGGGGCCAAAGGGAAGAAAGGTGACGAAGTCAAAGCCAAGCCGAGGGGGGGCAGCAGGTGCCTGCAGAGGGCAGCCAGTCCCGGCCGAGTCTGGGAGGCTGTGGGCATGCGGCATGCTGCAGCCCAGCCGGTCCTCGGCATGCACAGAGCTAAGCAGCCTGGCCCGCACAGCTGCCCTGCCGCCCCCAGACCAGGCTCCGTGCTGGGGCGGGCACCGAGGGGCCTTCCCCGTTGGCGACAGCAGGCTGGAGGCCAGGCCGCATGGGTCCCAGCTTCCCCTCTCCAGGTGAGGCCCCAGCTGGCAGGGCAGGGGAGCCAAGGCTGCAAACCACCCCCCGCCCCCAAGTGTCCCAGATGAGCGACAGCAGCCCTGCACGCTGAGACCCAGCCAGAACCGCGTAGTGCTGGAGAGGAAAACGCCAGCCCGGTGCATGGCTGAGCTTCTGCAGCTCGGGCAGGCGGGCGGGCAGGCGGCCGCTCACTCCTCGCGCAGCTGCAGGCGGTAGCGGTGGTAGCGGACCTGGAAGAAGAGGCGCTCGGCCAGCGAGAGGGTCATGCCGGGCAGCACGTAGTGGTCACTCGAGCCCATGTGTCTGAAGCCCAGAGACTCGTAGAGCTTGTGGGCGGCGACCTTGACAGCTGTGGTGCCGAGGACCACGGCCGAGTAGTGGTGCAGCAGGGCAAACTCCAGCACCTTACGGCCCAGCGCCTTGGCAATGCCCTTTCCCCGGAAACGCGAGTCCACCGACATGCGGAGCAGCTCCACCGTGTTGTCTGCCTCGTGCGCCCGCGCCGCCACGATGCCCACCACGTTGCCGTCCAGCACAGCCACCCAGAAGCAGGACCCTGCAGGGACAGGGGGTGGCGGCTGTAGGGGCCCGGCCTCAGGCGGCATGAAGGAGGAGGTGGCCTCTGCGCAGGGGTCCCAGCACCCCACAAGCCTGGTGATTGGTGACTAACCACCAAGGACCACTCCACTGCCCCTGCAGGCATAGCAGGGGCTAGGGAAAGGGGTGCTTCGGGGCCAGCTGCTGCCAGGGAGCAGGGCCTCCCATGCTGGCCAGAGGGAGTCCTGTGGCCCAGTGTCAGGGCACAGGCAGTCCCTGGCGGGGAGGACACTTTGAGAATCCACATGAGAGACCCAGGCTGGTCAGGGCACCATCCCGCCTCCCCTCACAGTGACCCTCACCCTAGCTGGCAGCTAGCCCAGTGGCCACCCGCTGCCTGGCCCAATCACATCCTGGGGCAGGGTAGGAGGATCCAGGGAGGGGGGACAGAGGCAGGAGGCAGAGGCCACAGCGGGGATGGGACCCGACACCCCAGTCCATGTTGCCACACCCTATCATCCCACCCTGCCCTGCACCCGCCCAGGGCCAGACCCTCAGCCACTGACTCACTGCTGCCCGCCCAGACAGGCCATAGGGCCGGCCCGGAAGGCACCCCCCTTGATGGTCTCCTGCTTCCCGTGCACAAGTACCTCCCTCACCCGGGGACCCAGGGGACAGGGTCACACGCCAGCCTGCTCCCCACCAGCTCCCCCCCACCCCCCGCGCTTGTGCCCTCCGGCACACGCCCAAACAGTGTGCCGACTTGGGCAGCGGTCAGGAGGACTGGGTGCCTGTGGCTGCTGGGCTGCTGTGAGGTGTGAGGAAGCCGCCCCAAGGGTGCCCCTGCATCAGGTGCCCCTCACCCCTGCTCACCATACTCCCTCACCTCAGCTAGCTGTCCCTCCCCGGCATCAGGTACCCCTCACCCCTGCTCACTGTCCTTGCACCAGGTACCCCTCATCCGTACTCACTGTCCCTGCACCCAATACCCCCTCACCCCTGTGCACTGTCCCTCCACCAGGCACCCCCTCACCCCTACTACTGTCCCTCCACCAGGTATCCCCTCATCCCTGCTCACTGTTCCTGCCCCTGCACCAGGTACCCCTCAACCCTGCACCAGATGTTCCCTCACCCGGCTGTCCCTCCCTCTACACCAGGTAACTCCTCACCCCTGCTTGTTGTCTCAGCTATTTTTTTCTTGCCCTCATCAAGCTAGATACTAACCAGTGGTTTGGCCTGTCTGCTCAGCCCAAGGTCCCTCATACCCCCGAGATCAGGGACAGAGTCTGCAGGGAAGCCAGGTCTACGGTCCCTGTGCTGAACAGCCCCACCCCTCCCTGCACAGAGGTGGGAAGGGGGCTGGAGAGCAGGTTCCTGATGGCTGCACCCCCAGCCCCTTCCCCCACGGCCTCTGCTCCAGCCCTGGAGGCAGGACCCCGGCCTGCCACGCGCGGAGGGCTCACCCGGGGGCTTCATGTAGCACTGCTCGATGTCGGCCATGTCGGTGTGCAGCGCGCAGTCCAGGTAGGCCAGGATCACCTTGCGGCTGTAGTAGTAGCGCAGGCCCAGCAGCAGCAGCGGCACCAGGCTCGTCAGCAGCAGCGAGCGGGTCAGGGCGAAGCAGAGTACTGTGGGCACAGGGGCGTCCTGAGCGCCGGGACCCCCGCTGCCGCTCCCCCGTCCTCAGCCCCACCATCAGCGCCCAGGGGGTGGGGGCGCCAGGGGGGCGCGGTTCCCCCGCGGCGGGAGGGGCTGCCCAAGCGCCCAGGCGCTGTCCAGCTCAGCCGTGCTTCCCGGCCGCTCCTGGGAAGTGGGTCCCTGTTCACCACGGGGTCAGGCCCGGCGCCCGGCCCCCGGCAGCCAGCGTGGTCCCGCCGCCGCTGCCCCGAGCGCATGACCTTGGGCGCGGCGCACCCGGGTCCGAGCTCCGCGCGCACCGCGGGTACGCCGGCCGGGCCCCGCACCCCGCACCCCGGGGCGCTGGCGGGCTCCCCTCAAGAACCGGCGCCCGGGACCGCCCCCGCCCCGCGGACCAGAGAGAGGCGCGGGCCGAGCCCCCGCCGCTCGCGCCGGCCCCGCGCCCCGCCCGGCCGCGTCCGCCCCGAGGGCCGGCGGGCTCGCGCGAGCCCGGACTGCGGCGCGGGCACTGACCGGCCAGCAGGGCGTAGAGCAGCTGCGTGCGCGGGTGCTGGCGCAGGCCGCGGAAGGCCGTGTTGGGGATGCGCTCCATGATGCCGTCGTAGAAGATGCGGCGCGCCGCGTCCTGCTCGGCCGCGCGGAACTCGCGGATGTGCACGCCGCGCTCCCGGGCCGAGCCCGCGCCCCCCGCGGCCCCCGCGGCGCCCGCGCCCGCGTCGTCGCCCGCGCCGAGGGGCTGCGGGCCGGGCGCGGGCGGGGGCGCGGCGGGCAGCGGGGGCCACATGGCGCCGGCCGCGACCAGCAGCGCGTCCTTCTTGGCCCCCGGCAGCGCCTCATGCTCGTCGGCGGCCACTATCTTCGTCTCGCAGACCATGTCGGGAGGCCCACAATGCATGCACCCGGCGGGCGGCGCAGCGCGGGGACGCGGCCGGGCGGGCAGGGCGCGGGCCCAGGGCAAGGGCGCGGCGCCCTCGGACCGGCGGCGGCGGCGGCGGCGGCGGCTGCTCAGGGGCGCGGGGCGGCGGCGGGCGGGACGCGCGGGGAGCTGCGCCGCATTTTGGGCAAGTATTTATAACGCGGCGGCGCGGGGCGGCCGGGCGCCCGGGCCCGCAGGGTCCTAGCGTCCACTGCATTGGCTGCCGCGGGTCACCATGTGACCGCGCTGGGGGGAGCGACGCCGCCCCCGCGCCCGCCCCAGGCGCGCTCGGCGGAGCGCCCCGGGGCTCCCCGTGCCGCCCCGCGCCTCCCGCCGCGCGCCCCGCACCGCCCGGCCGGCCGCCCGCCTGGCGCGCACGGGCGCGGGGCCGGTGCCAGGGGCCCGCCGAGCCGCCCCGGCCCCGGCCCCTTTGTCTGCGCGCCCGGCCCGGACGCCGAGGAGGGGGCGCCCGGCTGCCCCCTGCCCGCACCCCGGCGAGGCCGCGCGGGCTCGCAGCGCTGCGCTCGGGCCGGAGGAGGGTGCGTTGCCCTGCGGCGGCCCGGGGGTGTGGACGCCCCCCGGACCCTCCGGGCCCCCCGCCCTGCCGGCGCGCATGCGCTTCGGGGCCTCGGTGCAGGTGCTGGGGGCGCTCTCGCCAAGGCGGTCCGGCCCCCCAGATCGAAGCAGCTACGCGACTGGACGCGGGCGGGCAGCGGCCGGACAGGGCGCGTCCCGCGGCCGAGCGCGCGAAGGCGGGGCGGACCGGAGACCCTTGCCGAGGGTCGGTGGCCTGGGAACGCCCCCACCCCCCACCCCCCGGCTGCGCCCCGCAGAGTGCACGAGGTCCGGTCCCGCTTGGGACCGCGCCAGCACCAGGCCCCGCGGGAGGGGCCCACAGATAGTCCCAAACCGCGTTTCCCGGGGCCGGGCTCGGAGGAATCCCGACGACCATCCACGAGAGCCGAGTAGAGGCGGAAAATGTCAGCGTCGCAGGGTCCAGGACGCTGGCCGTGGCAGGACCCGCGCGGCGGAGCGGGACCCGGCTGGGCTCGACTGAGCCCAACGCCCCGACCGCGGGCTGCGGCCCCGTCCAGGATAGGCGCTAAGGCAGAGCCCCCAGCCCCCAAGCCCAGAGCGGGCAGGAAACTGGTCAGTGTTGGCTCGAGGAGGCAGCAGATCCACAGCTGGGAAGGGAAGGCACCAGCCACCCAGGGACAGCGTCCTCCCAAGGTGTCAGGCTGGGCAGTGGTGGGCCGGGAAGGGGACCCCGCAGTCCCCACTTGTCCTCTGTCTTCCCCCATCCCTGGGGGTAGCCCAGGCAGCAGTGCTGACCTGCTGTGGGGCAGGGGGGCACCCCAGGCACCGCCCCCCTCAGCTTCGGGATGGAGATGCCACAGCTCAGCCCTGCCTGCAGGAACCAAAGAGGGCGGCTGTCACCATCCGCAGGTTGGGGAGGCTGCAGCTGTCAGGAGGGGTCTCAGCCAGCTCAGGTGGGTGCCACAGCCCACCCTTGGCTGTGTTCAGCCAATAAGGCCAGACTGCAGGGGGGACTCTGGGCGCAGGGCCCCTCTGCAGTCCCCAAGCCCCTCAGGCCTCCCGCCCCTCGACCCTCTGCCAACTGCCCTTTGCCCTTGGCAGTGTGTGACCGGCTGGCTGTCCCCTCTCCCTCATCACACTGGGTCAGGACACACAGCTGGCCACCCAAGCCCTCCCTCGAGGGCGCCTGGACCCCAGCTTCTGCCCTGCCCACCTCACATTCCCCCAGACCAGCACCTGTCACTGTCCTAGGAACGCCCTAATGTGGGCAGGACTGCCCACAGAATGCAAGATACCCGTTAAAGCTCCATTCTGGAAAGTTCTCCGTGTGAATGTCCCAAACACTGTGTTCGTCAGATTTATCCCCACAGCCCGGGTCATGCCTCAGTGTTCTCTGGCTGGCACCTGTATTTGCTGACAGGCCAGCCCGTGCCTCGGAACCGAGCCCACCTGTGCCCGGACACTGGCGGCATCTGCCCGAGGCCCACTGGAGGTCCCTGCAGCACCTGCTGGGGATCGTGGCCCTCAGCCAGTCTCAGGTTTGTCCCTGGGCTGGTACCCGGGTGGGTGACGGAGGGTATGTGGCCACTTGCCAGCTTGCCCCCGGGACAGCCACGGAGGTGAACTGATGCCCAGAGCGGGGGTCCTACCGCGTCCCCCATCACAGTTCCGTGGAGAGCGACTGAGAGAGAAGACCCCTACGGGAATTTCCAGCGCGGTGGACAGACAGTGGCCATGGGTCCTGGCGGCCTGGAGCAGGGGGCAGCTGTGGATGGTGACCACGTCTGCAGTGGGCCCGGGGCTGCGCAAGGCATCGTCTCGTGGGGCCGCGGGCTGGGGGCAGCGAGGGCCTGGGGACACTGGGCCCACCGTGGCTGCCGCGGCGAGGGCCGGGTGCGGGCAGAAACCAGGCCAGGGAGGGCGGACGCGGGGTGGGCGGCGAAGGCGAGCAGTCGGGAGGCGGAGACGGGTTCGGGTGTTTATTGTGGGATCAGCGCGTCCTCAGCGGCCGGCGGGCCAGCAGGCACACAGGGCGCGGCGCTCGGCCTGCAGCAGGAGAGTCTCGGTCTGCAAAGCAACGGCGGCGTGAGGGGGCGCGGCCCCGCCGGGCCTGGCCCCCTCTCACGGGGCCCGGGGTCGAGGTCGCCCCTGCTCCCAGCGCCACGCGCGCACCCCCTCGGCGTCCCCGCCTCACCCGCGCGTCCAGGCTGGACGCCGTCTTCCGCAGGTCCTGCAGGGCGCGCTGCATGAACTCGAACGCGTGGCAGTCCACGCACGGGCGGCCTGCGGCGCGGCGGGCAGCGCGGTCAGCTGGCGTCACGCCGCACCCCACCCGCCCGCTGCCCCCCGGCCGCGCGGACAAAGCGACGCCCGCACGTACTCTGCGCGGGGACGGCGCCGCCCGGAGCGGGGTCGGCGCGGGCCTGGGCGCCCAGCAGCGTCGCGCTCAGCAGCAGCAGCAGCAGCAGCAGCGGGGGCGGCGGCCGCGGAGGGCTTCGCGGAGGCGGGGGCGCCATGGCCGGGGGGCGCCTGCAGCGAGCCCGGGGTGAGGCGACCCCGGCCGGAGCCCCTCAAAGGGCCCCGCGGAGAACGCCGGAGGCCCCGCCCCGGGGCCAAGCCCCCGCCGGCCGCCAGCCGACTGCCTGGACACCCCCACCCAGAGTCTCCAGGGCCTCCCAGGTCTCCACCCCTAGGGCCGAGCCCCCCAGAACCCCACCCCTAGGGTTGAACCCTCCGTAGGCCCCCAGGGCCCCCCAGATCCCACCCCTAAGGCTGAGGCCCCCGCAGGCCCCCAGAGCCCCCGCCCCTAGGGCCGAGCCCCTCAGATACCCCCACCCCTAGGGCTCAGGGCCCCGGGGCCCCCAGAGCCCTCCGGGACCCCTGACTCGGGTCCGCAGCGCCCTCACCGCGGTCGGACACTCGCGACAGCCGCGCGGGAGATGGGGACTGGCCGCGTCCTGCGCGCCGCGCGCATGCGCCCGACCCTGCCCCGCCCGGGTCCCCCCCATCGACGTCGTCGTCATGGAAACCCGGGACCCGCGCTCCTTTAGCTTAAAGGGACCGGAGAGGCTCGGGACTCTGCGGGCCGACCGTGGCAAGTCGGGCGGGCTGCGTGGAGGCGGGGGTGCCTGCAGCCCCTCCCGGGTACCGTGGACGAGAGGAATCTGCCGCGGGACCAAGCAGTTTGGTGCCTGCTCGAGGCCGGGGCGGGGGGCCGCGTCGGGGCCCGCCCACCTCAGCCTGTCTCGGTCCTCCTCCTCCACAGTGGACACACCGGCCAGCTGGAACCCGACGCTCGCGCCGGGCTCGGAGAAGGGGGAGGGCTGCGTGGCGGCGACCCCCGCCCGCTTCCCCGCCCGGACGTCCAGGGCCGCCAACCCCGCACCCAGCCCGGCACCTGCTCCGCGCTGACCGGCCCGCAGACTGGCAGGGTCGGGGCGGAGTGGCCAGCGGGCCCCGAGGCCGAGTGGGCGCGGGAGAACGCGGGCGTGGAGGGAGTCGGAGCGGGCGTGCGGGGGCTCCTACCCCTCGCTCCCACACCCCTCCGCGCTCCCCTCCCCACCACCCATTCCCGCTTTGTTGATTGTGTTTGGGGGCCCCCTGGGAGAGCGCCCAGAGTTTAGCCCGTGCGTCCGCGGCTCGACCACAGTGACTCCAAAAGGGCACTGAGCCGGAGTTGCGGTTCTTAGTGCCGTGGCTTTGGGTTTGGAACCTCACCCGGCACAGCGCGCGGGGCGGGGGGGGGGGGCGGGTCCCTGAACTCCCGCGCCCAAGCCCGCCTAGGCTCCGTACGTCTCTCGCAGTTTGGATAAATTTCTTGCGAAAACTCAGCGCAGCTGCCTAAGTGGTCGCAGCATTGGACACCCGCGCTCTTGCCCCGGCACCCTCGGACCCGGGGCTTGTCACCGTGTACCTGGGACAGAGAAGGCTCACCAAAGTGTGTTTGGGACTTACTCCTGGCCCTGTGCTCAGGGGTTCGTCCCCTTCTGGGCCTTACCCATTGGTCCTGTTTCTCCAGCCTATCGTGTTTGAAGTCAAGTTCCCAAAGCATCTCTTGGGCTATGTAACAGCAGTGACCGCCATGGTCTCTCACTATGCTGATTGTCTTAAGTCTTCCATCCCGGCTTTTAATTCCTTTTGGATTTACTTGGGGGCGGTACAGTTGGCGTCATTCTTTTGAGGAGAGGTGTGGGAGGCACACCCAGGCACTCAGGGACCCTGCCAGGGCAGCCTGGCCTCTGTTCAGTCTCTCCCGCTCCCGGAGGTTCGCCCCTGGGAATGCTGCTGTGTGGGGACTGTGGTCACTCCCCTGCTTCTCGGAGCTGTCTGGTGTCCCAACCACCTCTGAACAGATTTTGCTTCTCCTTTTACAACCACAGATCCTTTGTCAGACATAGTGTCCTTGTTTGAGCTGGGTTATTTCTAGGCTCTTGCTTTTATTTCATTGATCTGTATCTAATTTTATTCTAATCTCTTACAGTTTTCCCCCCTGGGGGGAGTGGCAGTTTGTTGGGCCACACCTAGCAAGAGCTCCGAGGCTACTTCTTTCTTGCCTGTGCTCAGGGATCACTCCTAGTGGTGCTCTGGGACCATACAGCAGTGCTGGGCTTCCAAACCGGGTCAGCCTTCTACAAGGCTTCTACTGCTGCCTGCAGCAGTTTCCAGTCCCCCTTCTTTACAGGTCTAGCCACTTTGTAGCACAGTTTGATGTCATCTTGAACTTCCCCCAGCCAAAGTCATGGAATAGCCTCCCAACTCTTAGCTTCCTGTTCTATATCCGTTGTCTAGAAGTTTGGTTATAAAGAGCTTTCACCTCTTTCACATAGTTTGTTTTCATTTTTTCATTTTTCATTTCATCATCCTGTTATTCGTCAATTGCCTCGAGCAGGCCCCAGTAACCGTCTCTTTCATCCTAGCCCTGAGATTATATTCAAGGCTATTTAGGAGAATGAGACCCATCATTGTTACTGGTATTTGGCATATTTGGTACGCCACGGGGAGTTTGCCAGACTCTGCCCTGTGGGCAGGCTACATTCGATAGCCTGCAAGTTTGTCCAAAGTAGGAATGAGACAATAATGAATGAGACGATAGCACATAGTTTGTTAATATATTTAATTCCTTTGATGCACTTGCAGTTGGGATATTTATTTCTTGATCTCCTTTGTTGTTTTCATATAGGAAAACAACAGATATAGGGGAGAGAGGTTGGGACCATACTTGGATGAACCCGGGTCTGTGGTGTGCAAGGTGCAAGGCAAACACCCTACCCACTGCACCATCACTCCAGCCCCTGCAACAGATTTTTGGGTGTTTTTTGTAAACAGTCCCTTTGCTGTTCCAATCTGTTTTTGTAGGTTTTTTTTTATATTGGATATATACCCTTTATATATCACATTAAGTAATGTCACTGTCACTGTCCTCCTGTTGTTCATCGATTTTCTCGAGTGGGCCTAGTAACGTCTCCATCATGAGACTTTGTTACTGTGTTTGGTATATCGAATACGTCACGGGTAGCTTGCCAGGCTTTGCCGCGCGGGCGAGATACTCTCCGTAGCTTGCTGGGATCTTCGAAAGGGGCGGAGAAATTGAACTCGGGTCAGCCAATGGCTGCGTGCAAGGCAAACACCCTACCTGCTGTGCTATGCTCCAACCCATTAAGTAATGTTTAAAAAAAAAAAAAGGAAGGGGATATGGTGCCGCTAGCAGGTCAACCTGTAGCTGCAGGGTGAGTGCATCAACAGCCTGATGGTGCCTTCAGACTTTCAGATACCCCAAAATTGCTGCTGTGCCTTTGGCCACACCCCAACAACTTGAGGCCAAGTTTAACAAGAAATTAAACAGCCAAAAGTTAGGTATGTGGGAGCCACACCCACAAACAACCTCCGGCTCAGCTATATAAGCTCACTTATATATAAGCTATATATAAGCTCACTATATAAGCCTTATTTCAGAGACTCATAAATCTCTAAAGAGATCAAAAGACGAAGTTAGGGCCCTTAGCGCAGAAGTAGACGGAAACCTGTGACTGAGATCTCCAGACCCTCTTGGATAAGGACTGGACCTCCTCCTCCCAGGCCCCCAAGTTTTCCAGTAGCTTGGCAGTCACACCTATAGACTGCCAGCACCATGCAATCTCATCAATGGCCAAGACCCAGAAACTATAAACTAAAGCTCCAGGAAGAAAGCGCCACAGAATCTCCTGATCCCATACCAGGCTGTCCTCACTGGGGCACCTCGGAGAGGGGTGGGCTGAGTCTCCCTTCCCACCCCAAGCAGTTCCCCAGCAGCTTTAAACCCCCAGAACTCAACCGCCACCATGCTCAAGGTCACCTCCACACACTCAGTTGACCATTCCCAAGAGCCTCACCCAAGATGGGATGAACCTCACTGGAGAGCGGACCAGCCAGAAAAAACAGGTACTGGAAAACCCATGACTGAGATCTCCAAGCCCACTTGGATCGTAACTGGGCCTCCTCCCCCCAGCTCCCCAGTTTTCCATTAGCTTGGCAGTCACACCCACAAACCACCCCCAGCGCCTTGTAATCTCATCAACAGCCAAGACCCAGAGACTACAAACTAAAGCTCCCGGAAGAGAACAATACAGAATTTCTTGGACATTATACTCTATCCAATACAAGCAATACAAAGCAAATCGTCTAGCATTGCATTTTTAGCAGGTTTGAGTGGGGTTGAGACTGGTGTCGAAATATTGAATGTAACCAAAGTAGAGAGAGAGTATGTATGGGGGAAATTGTCTGCCACATAGGCAGGGGAAGGGTTGGAACAGGGATGGGGGTAAGAGAATACTGAGGATTTTGGTGGTGGAAAATGTGCTCTGGTGAAGGGATGAGTGTTTGATGATCATATGACCGAAGTTCAAACATGAAAACTTTGTAACTGTACCTCATGGTGAATCAAAAAAAAAAAAAAAGAAAGAAAGAAAAGAAAAGAAAAAAAGAAAAGGGGGTGGGGGAAATAATAATAAAATAATAAAATAAAATTAACATTCTTAATAAAAAAGGAAAAAGTAATGTGGAGTTAGTTCATGCCCAATTCAATCAGCTTGGTCAATGGCTGAATAAATGGCAGTACTCCTACATTTAACAAATATATATATATATATATATATATATATACATACACACCCCTGGGAGCAGAGAGATAGCAGTAGGTGGGTGCACCCTATTTTCCCCCAAGTCTGCCAGGAGTGATCTTTCAGCACAGAGCCAGGAGTCAGCCCTGGGCACCACTAAATGTGGCCCCAAAATACAACAAACAGTTTATCCCTTCCTGCTTTGGGGCTGTGTCTGTCACACATTTTACACTGTGCAGTGTCCAGTTTGTGTAGCTGTTTAGAATGGGAGTTGGAAAGATAGTACAGCAGTTTGGATGCTTGTTTTGCATGTGGCTGGCTCTGGTTGATCTGCAGCAAGGCATATGTTCCCTTAAGCACTATCAGGAGTGATCCCTGATTGCAGAGCCAGGAGTAAGTCCTGAGCATCGCAGAGTGTGGCAAAATAAA